GTACCAAGTAAACACTCCTCCAGCTTTTCTTCTGTCTTCTGATTTGCAACGGCGAAGTTCTAACGTTCGAGTGTCGTAGTCGTAAACCGTATTCTGCGTTAATCAAGTAGCGAACTTAACAGTTAGTTCAATCTCTATCTTATTATTGACGTCTTTTTGGTTATTCCGTTTCCGAAATTTTTGGTGATCATTCAAGATGTTATTCAACTTGCCAATATAGTCTTTTTTGTTAAGTAGGATAGTTCCTGTTCCTTTTTTTCAGGTTCTGTAATAATCAGATTCTCGTCATTAATGAGTTCATTGATAGCCCCTTGTGTTTTTTTAGTTAAAATACTTCTGTAGTTATGTCTACTATCCTTAAACTGATAGCTGCAGTCAACTAGGTTTGATTTGTTATTTATTTTCAACCGGATGGTTTTGTAGACTTTCGGGAAGCTGGATATGTTTCTTGTCTGATCTTTCCTTAGTTATCTTGTGACGTAATCTTTAGACTGGGACTTCAGATCTGTTAATTCATCAACTGCAAATTTTCTGCGTGCAATATTTACTTCTATCTCTGTCAAGTCATTATATAATGTGTCAATTTTATTAAAGTGCATAGTGTTTTAATGTTTTTCTGTTTGGATGAACGTGATTACGGCGTAATGACCTATAGAACGTTTTCGGATAATGACATGATTCAATAGTTCTTTATAAATTCCAATGATGTTTTCGTTTCTGTGAACTTTGCGTTATACTTCAGGAACACATTGAATGTCTTCAATGCAATTAGTTAATCATAAAATTTTAATCGCTGATAGGTACCCATTTACCTAGGTTTTACGGACTACCGAAGGTACATAAACCGGATATCCCATTGAGGCCAATTTTGGACATGTACGATTCCCCTTATCATACTATAGCAAATTGATCAGTAACTGTTTTAAAACAACTCCACAAACACCTAATGAAGCATAGTATTAAGGATGTATTCCAATTCGTCAACAAGATTAAAAACATAAACACGAAAGGTCAAACGATGATGTCCTTTGACGTAACGTCATTGTTCACAAATGTCCCACTGTAGAATATATTTGTGAACAACTTAGAGAACAAGAATTGGAAATTACAATCCTTGTGAAGATCATCAAAGAATTACTACTCAAAATGTACTATGAATGTGCATTTCAAATTCAATGGTGAAATCTATAGACAAATAGATGGTGTTGCGATGGGTTCACCCCTAGGTCCCATATTAGCTGGCATTTTCTCTCTAAACTAGAAAACGGCCCACTGGCACAACAGATCGACAAGTTTTAATTTTACTGCCGATATATGGACGATACGTTTATCCTTTGTAACGAGCATACGGACTTGATAGAAACACTAGAGCGAATCAATACAGTTCACCTGTCCATAAAATTTACATGTGAGAAATAAAATGGGAGTAGAATAGCTTTTCTAGATGTTCTACTTACAACGAGAAAGGACAAGTCATTAAGAAGAAACATAAACAAGAAAACTACTTGGACGGGCCAATATACAAACTTTCTTAGTTTTGTTCGTCTGTAATACATAAGGAACCTGATCAAGACACTGCACCATAGAATCAAGACCATATGCTCTCTAGATACGGTCGAAAATGAAACAAAGGCATTATACACGACCCTGAAAGAAAATGGATATCCTGAGAAATTTATAAATAAAAACATAGCCAATAAGAGAGAGCATAGAGAATGCCTAACCGTGAATAAAAAGCCTCTGTATATACGCTTACAATTCAGAGGCGATGAACCCAGTGAAACGCTAAGACTGAAGTTAAGCAGATCAATCCAAAGAACTTTTAATGCAGGTAAACTACAATTACTGTTTTCTACACGTCAAATGATCACTCCGAGGTTGAAAGATAAATTACCTAGACCAGCCACTTCTTTCTTTATTATTTTAACTGCTCCTGTGGAGCAAGTTATATTGGCAGATTCTCTAGTAAGTTGTATATTCGGGCTCGTAAGCATCTCCCAGTGTGGTTAAGCAAAGGTGTAGTTAAAACGATTAACAGCTCCATTTTAGCCCATTTAATTCAGACCGGACATACAGCCAACATGGAGCAATCTTTCGCAATAATCATTTTGTATGAGATACAATAATCATAGGAATGATAAGTTGTTCTTAGATAAATCAGTCTTATTTATCTAAATATTTTATGTCATAATTTCTGCGGAATTCTACCCTATCCACTTTAGCTTGGACAACCGGGTAGTAGTACTAGCCCTTATACATAAATTATGGCCGGAAGCCAAGTACGTATATTTGTATTTGTAAATACTTGGTAAATGAGTTACTCCAATATATGAAAATGTTGATAATAGCTGATTTGATAAAAGTAAGCAGCAGAAATAACAAATAGATTATTCTGTAATATATGAAGCATCCATCGGGAATCATAAGATTACTGAGACCGTTTGAAGTAGGCGTGGAACATAAGCTAGCCAAATCACTTCACTTATTCCTATGGACACAAAAAGGAGAAAAGTCAAACATCATCTATAAGATAAACTGCCTCAACTGAGAACGTCATATCGGACAAAGTGGATACCATCTTCGTCGTATGAAAACTAACTAGCTGTCAAAAATCAAGACGTATTTTAGCTCATATCAGTGTAGAAAAACGATTATGGACATATGTTCAATGTGGAAAATGTTGAAATATCGGACATATAGAATATTACGAAGATTGGACGATATTTATAAGGTTTGCACTCAAAGTCACTCAAAAATCAGTAAACATATCGAAATCAACTCAATTTATTAACTAATTAGGAAAATCATGGAAAAAATTTAAGGTCAGAAATCAGGTGACAATCAAAATTAATGTGCAGAAAATGACAGGAAAAGTGTCAACAGCAACCAACCAAAATTATGATTGAGAGAATAAACTGTCCGTCATATGTGGGGAACTCCGCCCGGTGCCCCCCCGGGGACTACTGCCGGTCGCAAGTCCGGATAAAGGAGGAGGGTTGGGCATGGGGTTAGCGACCCCCATCCCGTAGAAAACTAATTTGCTAAAAAACGTTAACCAGATGTGGAAAATTCGAATATCTAACTTTTACTTGGAATTTGAGTTGATAATGTTGTCTACTACAGGAGGGAAAGCGTCGGAATTAAACTACCGAGGTGAGAGAATGAAAAGTTGTCGCATTCATTTACCTGAGCTACAAAGTTTTTCTACCATCTCAAAGTGATCACATTCGTATAAATTGTGTTCATCTAGAACCTATCTACAAATTGTAAATGCTAATGATTGTCTTTTTCGATGTGAAGAGAATGGAGAGAATGAGAAACCACGAAAGCTATTTTTGGGATTTATACCAATATTCGTCAATATTGGAAAAAATAGTCTGACGAAAATGGGGCATCGAGTATAGAGAAGTCATTGTATGTGAAAATTATATTTGAAATAATCTCACCGATTGAAATTGAAAATAATTCCGACGTTTCGTCCAGCAAACTTGTCTGGAGTTCTTCAGGGTAATAATCAAAATCAAAATCATCAAAGAAATATATAGCGTTTAACAATCAAGTCTATACTGTGCTAACCCAATCATATTTGGATGTTGACTCCAGTAAATAGGATAACATGAGTTAGTTAAATGCAAATCGTGTGAAAATAAATGACTGAACGAACTCTGTGTGTGTATGTAGGTGTAATATTGAGTCACTAAGAGTTGATATTAGGTGTTAATATGTTCTGGTATGAAGGAAAAAATAAATGTGAAAGTTGAAGATTGAAAAAAAGTTTCCTTAGGTCAACCAAGGATTTGGGAACACTTCTCAAGCACTGTTTGTGTTCCTTCCTGGACATTTCTCCCACATAAGCTGCAGTACAATCATGAAAGTTGATCTCACAGACGATATTTTCTTGTCCTTCCTTTGGGAACTTATCTTTAACTTTCATTAATGCCGATCTTATGGTGTCACAAGCCCGAAAATACACCCTTATATCATACTTGTTTGGAATCCTCTTGATTTCATCCAATGTTTCACTACGGTATGGGATAACCACGGTGGATTTCCAATTCTTTGGAATATTGTCTTGCCGGACGTCTAATCTGTAAATTGCCAATATTTCGTTATGTGCCTGCTTTATCTCGTAAATCATAAACTTTTGATTAATTTATAAATTACTGACTCATTTTCTTCTATTCCGACATTATTGTAATTTAAATGTGATTCTTGTATTTTTCTGAGGGAATAACCGCTCGTTTTCGTTGTTCAGTAGAAGTGCAATAATATTTCCGAACATTTCTCCACTAGTTTAGTGGATGGGTATTGCATATAAGAGCGTGATTCTCACTGGACATTTAACTTCAGTCATCTATATCTTCTAGGAACACGCCACTGCAAAGCATTCCAACTTGTTAGATGAAAAAATCTAACAGGGTGAAATTTAGAGCTTGAAATGAAATAATCAGTGAAAATTATGGTCTTATATACAGCACTGACGAACTGAATTAATGGAAAACTAGACCAACTTGTCCTGTTATTCCATAATTATATGATCTCCCTAAAATGAAGATAGATAGCCCTTTATGTTCTATATTAGATATGAATAACTCGTTATTTTATGTTATCGCTAAATGGCTAGCTGAAATTCTACGTCCAGTTAGAAATCAACTCAATATATACACCGTGGCTGAGTCGTATGATTTTGTTAATTCAATAGCAGGTGTCAGTGTAAAAGGGAACAAAATGACTTCAATAAATAATACATTTCTTTGATAAATTTAGTTAATGATGTAACACCACTTATCAGTATACAATTTTCCCCAGAGAATTTTAACATCGGTATATTAAGATAAAATATCAGGAAAGTTTAACGTATTACATAAACACTTTATTTTACTGGGAAAATAAAATAAGATTGCTAAAATGATACCTGGTATAATAGGAATTAAAAACTGAATAGAATGTATGCACATACTACTAATAAAATAGAATTTGAGAATGAAGAACGAACTCACTTTCATATAACTAATGTTTAAATCTTTTCTGGACAAACCACGTCGTATATTTCTTCTTAAATAAACATCATAATCACGTACAATACGTCCGATTACATCAGTAGTAGAAATTCCTTCTGTACGTTGAGTTACAAGAAACCTTAATAAAATGACAGAAATGAGAATTTTCTGAGACTTTTAAAGTGAATTCACTACACTATAACACGTAAGTGCTATGTAAATGAAATAATAATAGAAAATATTAAATAGACTAGTAACATTTCAATTATAGGGATTAAACTGTTCAAAAAATCTTTATCGACAATAAAAAGAGTTAATATCTGAGTGCTTTTGAATGCATTTTTAATTAGTGAATTACATTAACTTCAGTGATCAGAAGAATTATAAAATAAATGAGAAAACATTGTTGGAATGAGATACAACAGTTGTTATAAAATAATACAATAAGATTCATTAACTTGGATAATTTAAGTGAATAAGTTGAATTGTAAACACAAAGATAGTAATTAGATCATTAATTAATTTCATATGACATGGAGAATCTGAGGAATGCAAAAACGAAATTTTATAAGCAGGACGATATTGTTTGAGTATCTTCAACACTGATAATTAGGAGAAAAGTTAACTATTAAACAGATGTATTAAATTTTTTTTTTAAAAGACCCTACAGAATAGTAAATTATGAAAAAATTGCTTGAATATGAATGTCTAGTAAGCACACAACAAAGAATCATTACATTAAAGTATAACTACTAGTGTGACTGAATAATTTGATGGGTTATTAAGTTGGCTTTTAATCATTAAATCAGTGGTTCAAATTTAATTACGGTTAATTCAGTTTCAGCAATTTGATACCATTGTTGGTCATATTATTTAGTTCACTGAGGTAAATTAGTCTTATTAATAAGTGAAGACAACGTACTAGGGATCTGGGGGAATATCGTAACCAATGGTTAAACATATTGGTAGACATAAGCTCTGAATTGGTGGTGGTAGATTTCAAAAATATTTACTGGTAATTCAGTCTTTCTTCTTGAAGTATGTAGACAACACTTAACGTTTTGTACTACTGCCGATATCGTTACTACTTCTACCATTCTGACATTTATATTGGAAATTCTATCGCACTCTATTGATGTGATGTGGCAGCTTGAACTTATGCGTACACGTATATAAATAATTTTGATAATTTAGTACAACTCAGTTTGCGTACTCGACTTTGATTTATAATATTTTATGTGAACATCAATGATACCTTTTTGTTAACCAAACCGAGAAAGACTTGAACTACTAACCTAAAGTTTGGAAGACAAAAGCTTCTACTAATAAACTTCTCTTTAATTATGTAATGGATTTTTTGACATACTAGATGAATGAAGACTAGATACATTTTTGGCAAATTAAATGTCATTGGGTGGATATATATATGAACTTTTAAAAACAAACTTGTGGTAAATTACAGCTTAAAACCTATTGAAACGAATATAATAGGATTTGGAAAAAATTTCCATAAAAAAACTCATCTTTGTACTTTTTTTCAAGTTCTTGAATAGTTAAAGTTTTTTATAAGTACAAAAAGGAAACAGAAAACAAAGGAATAAAAAAACAGTCAGTCTTAGGGAGACTCTAAAGATTAACTTGATTAATGTAACACACGCCTTAGCCAATCATCAATTCTATTTAAAATATAGCCTGGTACAAATGTGAGTTAGGCCTAATCGTCATACCAAATCAGAACAGATAGATGAAATTAACAAAATACATATTAAAAGGGTCAGAATAATTGTAGTAGCAGTGATATTGAGAAAGACTAAAAATTAAAAATATGCTATGAAAAGGTAGCATGCACCTCAATGAGTTGCCCTCCGACTTGTGTCAAGCTCCCAAGTAGTCAAGTTCACTTTCAATCTAGTTTCTCTTTTTCTTGTGCACCTACCAACAAGGCTTAATTCAACAGTCAATAATTCCACAGACTGACCTCATATTTTGGTTTAGTAAGCACCAATTTCACCCAACCTTTTCTTATTTCAGCAAACATAGTGAGGCATTGTGAGCATGTGTCACACGCGTCTCAGCCGCCGAAGATTCACAGCCTCATCAGTCGAATTTTCACCATTGCCTAATATATATAACAGATCAACAAGTAATTTTTTGTTGACATTTGATTTATAGTTGTGTGGAACTCGACCGCATAATTTCAAAGAGCCAATGAAGGAATTTATAAAACATGAGAAATTTATGATTAATAGGATGAGCATAGTAACAATGACTATTGTTAGAGTGAAACAAGCAATATGTGTGAATGTTAAACAAGAAATCTGAGTAGAAACAACTTGATAATAATAAAACAGAAGGACATTGTAGACGTATGAGTAAATATTAAAAAAATAATTGACCTAATAAAATAAAACTCTAAAACAGAAAATGATTAAGACAGGGACGATTTTAAAGTGCAGATTTAAAAAAAATAACGGTTAGAATAGGGTGTTAGCTAACAGTGAAATTCAGGACGCGCGTTTTATCCTATTTGCGACTCGTTAGCTGGATGTACTTGCATCCCACAGTCGATGTTAACTCTCGGACATGAATTCAGTACCTGTCGCTTCAACCGCCACCACGTTACTCACTTGGGTATTGAGTCAAGATAACAATAAAAGCTCCACAACTAAACCATCTAGCCCAGAAAACGAAACTTCACCTGAAAAAGTTACATCTAGATCATTAAATTGGGTGTATCCCATACTTTAAATTCCAATAAATCCTATTCAGGTCAAAATTAATGGAGATGTATTCGAGATATCCGATGGATTCATATTTGACAAGACGTACCTTGAGAGAATGGATTCCACTTGTATGATATGAATATGTCACCCAATTACACAGTCCGAGACGTCACTATTAAACTGTTCAGATTGCGGCTACATCATAGATACACCTTCTCGAAGAGTGCTAGATAACACGAAAACTAGGTTCAGAGTTTACAATCGACTATTTCAATCACTTAACATTAATTTATTTTAAATGCTGTTTGTATTTTATCCCAATTTATCAAGGGATAAATTTGTACGAACCTACTGATGAGTGAGGTAACTACGCTTACAACGATTACATATATTCATTGTTATTGTAATGAAACTGAGAAATCAAGATTAAGTAAGACAATAAATAGATTTTTACAGAAAATCATGATTGAATCAAAATCTTTTACCCGTGATTGAAAATGGATAATTTATTTGCACATCAATAAAGGCATTATTTTCATTGAAGCTTTCATTAAACGGTAAACTTTCAGGTAACAATTACATAAATGATAGAAAGTTACTTAATTTAAAAATTATTTAATTGATACTACATTTAATTAGACAATACAATGGAATATTTTTTCTGTGCAAGATAAAATGATTCAAGAACCAAACTGATTTTATTTAAGAGATAAAAACTTACATGCCAGCATCTTTCAATGGTTTGTACACATCTTCACTATCAGGTGATGCGTATGGAATGTCATCATGTGCAACAAAATCAATCTGTGAGAAATTGAAAAGTTAACACACAAATCAAATTAACAATGAAGATATTTCTTTTAAATGTTGTGTATGACAAATTAATAAGACTAATAAGCTTATACATGAAGATGTCAACCATACAAAAAGAAATGACATAATGATCAGACATAAAAAGTAACAAAATTATAAAAATGATAAATAAAAATTAGAAATATTAATAAAGACTTTATTTAATAATATTTTAATTGTTACCTGAGAATGGAATGTAGCATATTAGAAAAACCACGACAAACTATGCTGATGATTTCAATTTTCGATGTAATTTGATGCATAACCTCAGAGAATTTACACATATATCAACAAATGGTAATCCAAGAGAACCATTCTCGATTGAATAATGTTATGTATAAACTGACCACATTTTCGCGAATGTCCAGCGCTTTAACCGGGTTGGTGGACATGGAGTCCACCTAGGGGAGCTGGAAAACCCCGATTCCAAATCAAAGGTGCACATGGGCCCCAGTCTCCTGAAGGAACAAATGGCGTATTAACCAATCGTTGGTCACCGGCTACCATGGGACTGCATCTACTTACGATGCTCCACTGCCTTGTGGATCAGACCTTCAAGTCGAAGGCTCCGGGTGTGACCCCCTAAGAAAACCACCTGCTTCGATTTGGGCAGCCGGGCAGCATCACAGCCCTCACACATATCAAATGAGACCTGTGTGACGCATATATATTTGGTGCCTCATTGTACCAATATCTATGTCTTAAAATAAATAAAATCTCTTTTATCAAGGCTTCACTATAAAACCCTTAGTACCACACATATGTAGAACGTATTAAAGTCATTCAAGAAACTAAAGAAACGCAGGATAAATAATGGTTGAACCTCAGTGGTATTCGTATGACATTTTTGTTTGTGCACAGGTCAGTTGTCCATTTACTTATTGAAGGGCGAATACACTACATAAAAATCCATCTTGTTCTAATATATGGCCGTGAAATATATATATATATATATATATATATATATATATATATATATATATATATATATATATATATATAAAGTAGAAAACATTCGCAGGTTACTATTATTTACTCGCATATGATGAAACTAAGTGAGTAATGATGGTTTTAGGTGTCGAGTATTAAGTGAAAAGCATATGAGAATAATTAAGCAAAAATCACTTAACAAATTGAATCGACAAAAATACAAACTACTACACTCGTGATTATGTAACTCCTTTATCAACTAGAGATTTATGTGCTCGGCTATGAGTCACATTATTTATGATGTCGAGTAAATACTATGCAGCTCCCCAAATGGAAGTAGATGAAGTGAATTACGAACATGTGACGTATTGGTTTTAAGTTGAGTGCTGTTAATCATAAATCCACAGAAGTAGCAAAATGATTGAATATTAAAATTCATTCGGTTGATCATAAACAACGTAGAGCCTGGACATGAATATGTCTTATTCCAAGTTGTCACACCAAATCAGCACAAGATGAGATACGTATTAAAAGAATTCCAAAAACAATAACAAAGATATGACAATTAATATCATTGGATTAATTACCTTGTGTTTCTGCAAAAATTCATCAGTAATAGACCAAGGAGCATCATTTATAACTTCATCCACATAACGACAATGTCGTATAGCTTCATAACGCTCTTTCTCATTCATGACTGTACGACCTTATAATGGTGAACATCTGCATCATTAGAGACTGGGATAAAATTGCAGCACATGAATCAAAGTAAGAATCAATCAGTACAAATATTTATTGAGAAAATGAAATGGTATCATTTGTCTATCAGAAAATAAGTTACAAAACGTAACTTGGTAGTCTTACATGTCACTTCATGCCTAAACTTTAAACAATACCTAACGGGTAGACTGAAGAGAACAGTTTACTGTCAAAATTCAACCTTCTTTTATTGATGTAACTAAATGAAATCATGATTAAATGCTAACAAAGTTTATGGAGATTTATCATTGTCACTTTAAAATTATCTCTTACGATGTTTTACTACCAATAATCAAATCAAACTTACCACCAACAATAAGGTAAGTGTCAGGGAAGGCACACTTCGCTTGCATTAACTGACGAGCATGGCCAGAATGAAACATATCATACGCTCCATCAGCATACACACGGACTGGTCTAGGAGCTAAAATAACAAGACAGTAAAAATGTATGAGTTTTAGTTGAGATTTTTCGGAGGAGTATCGACAAGGTTTATGCATATGGATGTATAGTTAACTGCACAATATAAAAAATTACCATTAATTTTAACGCGGTGGTTCTTTGTCTTCGCTTTAGTCCTACGCTTTTGAATTATTTTATAATTTTTTCCACGGCCTCACATTTTCCTTCGCAATAATATTTTTAATATCCAATCTTCTCTACTACCAATAGACTGTTGCGACCTCTACTACTTCAATATCGTATCTTGCTGTACTGATATGGTGTGGCAATTTGAAATGATGTACATATGTCAAGCTCCACGTTGCGCATGACTGACTGGGTCAGTAGTTAAGGCATTTAACGTTTAGCCATTGATTTCCAGGCTCGAAGCCTGCTTCACATATTTTGGCTTTCAGCATTCACGTAGTATCACTAGCCTTTACAGTATGGTTCGAAGCCAAGTACACTTATCTGCACTTCGTAAATGAGTTAAAATGAATACTGTCAATTTAATTCATGGAATACTTCTACCAAATACTTGCTAGAGATACCATAATTAGTAGGTGTACATGTAAACAAAAGCAATAAGAAATCTGTGAGCTGAAGCGTGGATCGCATCGTAAGTCAAAACGAACTAATGGTAATTAGTCATCTCGTTCAACGTGTTTCTAAACAGCATTTACCAACATAGGTTTACTACAAAGATGTTAACTAAAACAGGACTACATAAATAAAGATGGTTTTGTCAACATTTATGCAATGGATTGATTAATTCAGTCAGTCAGCTACAACGTAGGACCAGGCACATGTATGCATCGGCCCAGGTTGCCATACCTCATTAGCACAGCAAGATGAACACTGGATTCATAGGAGTGGTTAGGTCAAAGGTGGTAATATATAGGAGAAAGATTGCAATAAGGATATAGTATAGGAAGAAAGAATTAGTTCGTAGAAAGAAAGATGTGAAGTGATCTTAATCTCTTAGTTTAAGAGAAGACAGAGAGTGTATACACCGACGCCATTGTGATCGATTCTGAGCCATGTCACCAAGGGTCTCCAACCATTGGTTACGAAAGTCACGCGGACCCCAACCAAGTAGTCTGCATCTACCAACATGGCTCAGACTAGAAGTTAGTGACTTCAGGCACTGATGCCACGTTTTGGTTTGGCCGCCCCTAACTTTCTTCCAACCATCCCCTACACCGGTTAGCATTGCACGTCGCGGTAATCGGTGTTCAGGCATACGTAATACGTGGCCCAACCATCTCAGTCGATGAAGATTCATAACCTCATCAACTGATTTACCATCATTCCCTAATACCCTGCGTCTAACCTCACTATTACTTACCCGGTGATCCCAGCAGATGCCAGCAATATTTCTAAGGCATCTGTGGTCAAATACTAGTAGCTTACGGGTGTCTTCTACTCTTAAGGGCCATGTTTCGCTGCCGTAAATTAAAACAGAACGGACAGCCGCGCAGTATACTCGTCCTTTTATTGATAGACGGATATCTCGCCTCCGCCAAAGGTGACGTAAGTTGGCAAAAGCCAAACGAGCTTTACGAATCCGTGCTGAGATTTCGTCAGACACCAACCCATTAGGGCTGATCAGACTTCCAAGATAAGTGAAGTTGTCAACACGTTCGACTACTTCACTCCCTATCCTTAGTTCAGGTGTTGACGCAGACCAGTCCTGAAGCAACAACTTGCATTTAGAGGGAGAGAAGCGCATCCCAAACATTCTGGCATTGTTGCTTAGTGCTACCAGAAGACTCTGCATTTTGTCAGCGTCTTCACCAAACAGGACTATGTCATCTGCATATTCTAAGTCGATAAGTGGACCTCCTGGAAGGAGATCAATACCCGAGAATTCAGTCGACGAGAGTGTTATTTCCATCAATAGGTCTATGATGAAGTTAAACAAAAATGGAGAAAGTGGGCAGCCTTGACGGACACCACTTGAGGTTGTAAAGGTAGATGACAGTTCGCCATAAGCCCTGACTCGACTAGTAGTGTTCGAGTAAAGAGCCTTCACAAGGTTTATGTACTTCTGAGGTACGCCTTTCAATGACAGACACTGCCACAGAGTCTCGCGGTCTACAGAGTCAAATGCTGCTTTTAAGTCAAGAAAGACCACCATCGTCGGACGCCGATAGGTATGCCTGTGTTCTAGAACCTGACGAATGGTGAATATGTGGTCGATGCAGCCACGACCAGGTCTAAAGCCAGCTTGGTTCTCTCGTGTTTGTAGTTCACGAGTCTTAGTTAGGCGTTTGATAATTATCGAGGCCAGTATTTTAGATACTATGTTTGTTAAACTAATCCCTCTGTGGTTGTCACAGGATGATTTTGACCCTTTCTTATATATTGGGACGATAAGTGATTGCGACCAGTCAGATGGGATAACGTCTAACTCCCAGATTTTAGCTAAAATATTAGTCAACCTAGTCGCTAAAATTGGACCACCATCCTTAAAGACTTCTGGAGCCAGTCCATCTGGACCAGCTGCCCTTCCTCGTTTCAGATTAACTATAGCCTTCTCAACTTCAGCAAGAGTTGGGGGACCTACTTCAATGTTCCATTCACTTTGTCTGGGAATGGAGGGTAGTTGTAGAGTAGCTGAAGGCCAGCTGAACTGTTCTCTAAAATGTTCCGCCCATCGTTCTAAACGTCTGGACTGGGAGCAGATGAGAGTATCATCTTTTTCCGAAATAATCTCACTTACACTTGACTTATTAGTTCCAGTTTCTTTTATTAGTCTGTAAAGCTGTCTTGTGTTCCCTATAGTCGCCGCCTTTTCCATCTCTTTTGCTTTCGTTACCCACCACTGCTCACGGTCGTTCCTTAGACTTTTTCTTAACCTAGATCTGATTTGTTTACGCTCTTCATCATGTTCAGAACCTGATGGGACGAGTTTGCGAGAATCCATCAGTGTGACAGACCTTGAAGAAATCCACTGGTTCCTTGTAACTCTGTGGTTTAAGTCACTAACAGATGTCACTGCTGTTTCCACAGCTGCTTGTATGTCCTTCCAAGCAACATCTGGGTCAGCCTCGTCTTCACAACTAACTAAGTGTGACCTCAGTTGTTCCTGGAACCTACTTTTGGTTTTCTCGTTACTCAACTCAGTTCTAATGGGTCTTTTTAATGTGGCTTTTTTGCGTCCATTGAGGCGCAAGCAGATGCGTGCCCGTATTAGGGCATGGTCGGAGTCCAAGCAGGTGCTCCAGAATGAACGACAATCTTCTACCGACCCTCTCCAACGATGACTGATGGCAATATGGTCTATTTGAGTCCATCGTTGGTTTGGTGTAGGGGGTCGCCATGTTAGACGATGTCTCTCCTTATGCTTAAAATTTGTGTTTGCTAAAAATAAACGATTGTCTGAGCATAGCTGCAGCAGACGATCACCATTATCTGTTCGCTGTGTCGGAATACTAAAATATCCACCTAAATGCCTTTCTGTTTGGTTTAAACTGCCTATCTGAGCATTAAAATCACCTGCTACGAGTACTATGTCTGAGCGTTTAGCTTTCTGAAGAAGTTCGGATAGCTTTCTGTAAAATTCATCTTTCACTTCATCTGAGCTGCAGTCAGTGGGAGCGTAGGCAGAAACGACAAAAAGGCAACGACGTGTGTCCCTATCCTTCCGAGTTCTTACGTAGCCGTTCAGCCGAACAGCACATAGACGACTGTTGACGGGGATCCACTCTAGCAGTGCTTGTTCGGCCCTCATGCTTAGTGCTATGCCTACACCTGCCAGTCCACGAGAACTTGCCATCGGGTCACCGGACACACGAAGGGTGTATCTCGTTGGCTCTCCGTCTTGCCGAGGTGAGGTCAAGTGAATGACCACACTGGAATCCTGTATGCGTGTTTCGGAGACACAGCATACATCAATGGAAAGAGACTCTAGGGTTTTAGCCAAGGAAGCCTGCTGACCGATTTGACATAGGGTGCGTACGTTGAAGGCTCCAATGTGTAGTTTGGAGCGAGGTTTCAGTAGACCTGGGACAGTGTTTTGCGCACTAGAATCGTTGGCTACGGTGACACTTGAGGTGGAAGCCGAGAGAGGAAATACAGAGTTGAAAGTCGATGTAGGAGGAATAATAGGAATTGAAGAAGGAGGTTGATTATGAATACAGTGGACTTGAGTGCTGTTAGAAGTATGAGGGCGGTTATCACTTCCCGGTTGCCCACACCGTGGAAGGGTTGTTCTGGAGGTACCTGAAAAGGAAATTGGATTAAAGGTGGTCTTAGTGACCTGAGAGCGTGACCGCAGTGCCCAAGGGACAACTGCTTGAGGTCGGTCACACACGACCTTGTTATGGGTAATTTTTGTGTTAGCTCCGTACTTATTGAGACCTTACCGCCGGAGACGGATATCCGTGGGATAAGGCGAGGTGTGCATTTTTAGGGTCGACCTTTTCTAACCCCACCCCTCCTTGTGGGAAGGCAGCATCGCTGTCATGCTGGTTGTCTGAAGGAAACACCTTACTGCTGTCACACCTCTGTACAGTCAGCAGTACGACTTCGCCTTCGGACCTTGGGTTTGTTGCTTTTAGTCTTACCGCTCTTCAACCGACCTGTCTGACATGGTAGGACCTTGAGGAACGGTTGTTCCAGCCAGTATAGCTCGGTTGCTTCATCACGATAGGCAAGCCCGACCACCACGTCAAGGTAGCAACAACGGTCGGGGGATTGATTAATTACCACAGTAAAAACCCAACGAAGGGGTGAAAGTATATGAAAATGAACAAAATTTTAGTAAACAAAAGATAAATATGCATAAGCCATAAGTATGTTTAAGTTTCGAAATAGATAAAGAACGACAGAGCATGTGCTGCTATATCGTAGTTAGAAGTTGCGTATATGTAACAATGGATATGGTAATTCATCAATTTTTACCTTTCGATGACTGTGGAAAGAAAATTTACATTTACGAAATATCAACCAGTAGCTTTATACGCTGATGACATTTCTAGGGGTGACTATATTTCCCTCTTTCAACCTACTTTCACCTACGTCAACACTACATATCGAGGCGATGAAGCCTTAACAGAGTTGCAAATTTAACATAGAATGTAGAACAGTTGGTTAATTATAAAAATATTTGAAACCATAAGTTAAGGAACAGATTCTGTTCAGTCCCTTATTTGTTATATTTCTGTATCTCAGGTTATTCGTTTACATTAATATATTTTGAATATCAAGGTATTTTATTTGAAGTTCATATTATTACCGCAATAAAAATAACCAAAAAGCATTTTGGATTTACTAGCACTGTGTATAGTTTTTCTGTTAATTGTTACTAATTTATCCATTTTAATGACGACGACAACAACATTTAGTTTGATTTAATGGTGTAGACGCTTAAATCGTTGAATGTCAGTTACTACTGGGTTTTCCCTACCATTGTATCGTGATTCGATGTAAGCTAGACCACCGTTAAAAGTTTGGAAGCTCTAAACGGCCGTTTCTTCCTAGCATGGAACTTCTCAGCAGTGCGCATCTACGATCCCGCGTGCAGGACTGACCCAAGACCTTTGGTCTCGCACGCGAACGCTTAACCTCTAGACCACTGAGCCGGAATACAACGGTGTTAATGTCTAACCTCAATCGATCCAGGGTCTTGTATAACCATTCATCTTTTGTCTGAGGTAAATACCTGTCTCTACACGACACGGATTGTACTCCACTGGTCACGGCTCTTCACTAGAACTCTATGAAGTCAGTCACTAGTGAACACATGATTGTTATTAGAATAGGGGTTTGTGGAGATTGTAGTGGTTTTAATAGTTGAATTCATAAGTCGACTAGGTCAACGTGCAAAATAATTAAAATTGAAAAGATGCAATATTCATCAGAAGCATATACAAGGGTGAATGTGTTTGTATGAATTTAAACAGAAATTACGTATATTTAGATAAAGGAAATTAAACAAAATATGACTCTACCTTTACCAGATTTAGCCATTTCTAAAGTAATTTTAATTGTATAATCGCATGCATGGTTTGCCGCCATAGCTAATGGTTCGTACCAAAATGGAGCAGGGGAACGATATGCCAAGGAATGTAAAGTTAACTGAGGTAGTAAATTATTATCACTAGTTATTAATGAATGATTTCCAACCTTAGTCTCATTGGAAGTAACATTATCCAAATTTGATGACGTAGTAGAGCAAGATACTTCAGATGCATGTATATTATTATCGTTATTCTGAAATGAATTAGATTGTGTTTGTTCTGTGATTTCGGACACTTTAGAAGTTGTTAAGTTATCTGTTGAGTCTTGAACGGATGATTCTTCATTAACGTATGTCCCGTGATAATTATATTTCCCACCATTTATAGCTTCAGCAGATGATTCATAATCAGTTGATATGATAGGAATCATTTTACAATAATAAAAGCCAAGTATTTAAACTGTGTCTACGTAAATTATGCAGAAAATAACTGGGTATCAATAGTCTTCTTAATCTGGTTGGATTACAAAGGTCTATATAATTAAAAATAATAATTTATATTAGAGTTGCAGCATTATACTCAAATTACATACAATCAACAAATACATAGAACGAACTACAAAATACCAATTGGTATTCTATACTAATACGATATTGAAGAGGTGAGATTATCTCAATTGTTAATAAGTGGAGGAGGAGAAGGAGCAATAATCAAAATAACGCCATTTTAAAGTCAAATGTCTAAAGAAATAAGTCTTACATCATTTAATACGGGTTGAAATTTTCTTTTCTCTTAATTGAGTTATTAACACTTATATGTATTACAGATGGACGTGGAAGATAACATTGTGTTCATTTTTTTAAAACATAATTACGACATCAAGTAGCTACTTTATTTTCAAAAATTTTTAGTTGTTTATTTACTTAAACTAACGACAAAAATAACTTTATTAAATTATTACAATTCAATGTTTATTCAATTAGTGCTTAAAATAATGTTAATTTACTGAATTTTTGAGTAAATATGAACAATGATATCGATTAAGAAAAGATGAACTTTATGAGAGAAATCTAGTAAGAATATATGTATAAGTAAACAACTAAACTCAAGTAAAACTAGGGTGTATTGTAATTGTAATGAGTATGTACAAAATCATTATCACTATAAGACATATTTGGAACGGTGAGTAATGGACAAATGACATTTATAAAAAAAATGTGTAAAATTTTTACTCAATAGTGTGTAAGACTAAGATTACGGCTATGCAGTTACAGATATGAGTCTTGATTCATCTGTTAAAGTGTTTCTGAAGTATTGGACGGTTTGTTAGAATATATGTTTACAATAGCCATTACTTTTTTAAGAACGAGGGCTAAGTTACGTTCACATAAAATAAGCTAATTTTTAGAATTGTACATCTCGATATTTAGTTACGAGTCTGACTGGAAAACTCATGACGAAGTTACAGACAGCGACAAACTAGATAATAGTCAGGTATGGGTTAGTATTAATGATAATCTTAGGTCGACTTCAAATATTGTAGAAGGATTTTGGAAATGAACATGGTTATATAATTAGTTGAGGAATGACCGATAGGGAAATATATGTATACAGAGTAAATGGAAAATGGTTAGCAGTGGAATCTAGAACACGCGTTTCGTTATACTTGCGACTCGTCAAGAAGTACATATACCAACAACTGATCACACTTCAGCTTAAATATTAACAACAGGGCAATTCAAGCTACTAAAAACTAAATAAAATTTAATACGCCCTTTGTATTAATCGATTCGGGTTTCTGAAAACCTATTAGGTCCCATTTGGAACTGAAGTTCATTGGTTTTCGTATTTAAAGTACAATTACTGAGTCAGAAAAGTGTACCCCGGCTCTGAATGCCCAATTTTAAGGAAGAAGTTAGCACAACTAAACTCAAAAACATGTTTCTTATATAGTTTATCACATTAACATATAGGTAGTCGATTAGACATTTTTATATAGCATATTAATTCAACCTTATAACATATCTAATTAAAATGTAGACTATCAACAAAGGGATCTAGGATGAACAAATAGTATAGAAAACAGCATCACAAAATTAAACCATAAGACAGAAAAAACAAAGAAAAACATTAACATCTAGTGAAAATAGGTGTATATTTACAAAAGTCTGAAAAGAACATAATAATGTGCAAACTAATTGAAAGGTTTTAGGAAGCTGCAATAATACTCAATGGCTCTTGTAAATTTTGTACAAGAGCATTCATCTTAGCTCGTAACATTCCCAAACCCACATCTTTGGAGGCATGGAGGCAAAGAAGAACTGACGCTACACGTGTAATTATTAGTCTGCCTTCAGACAATTTCAAGATTATTTCCTGGACAGTATCCTAAAAGTAAATAGGTAAGAAAAATATTGTGTTTTAAATAATTTTATCACAAAATATTCACGGCATAATTGGCATCAAGTTTTTAAACCAAAACGTTTCACTTACTTATGAGTAGTAAAGTTATGGGAAGTAACTTCTGAAGCACTGATAACTTAAATTCACGACATATTATGTCTGGAAATATCTGGTAAGGCGAGATTTGGCACTTAAATGATAAGAATGAATATATATATATATATATATATATATATATATATATATATATATATATAATAGACATAATATGGGAGGAGATAAACAGGTTTGTATACTTGCATACAGACCATGATTATTATACGAGATGTATTATAAGTACCGACAACCGTAACCTTGAAGCAGGAACGAAGCCCATAACCTAGTGTTGGAATGTATAGCCTACAAACAACAGAGTGGATGCACCTGCGCCATTGCAAACGATTTTGAGCTATATCGTTTAAGGTCTCTAACCATCGGTTGCTATCATCTCGCGGATCCCAACAGGGTAGTCTACACCTACCAACATAACTCAGTCCACTTGTCAGTGACTTCATGGATTTGTGCCATGTTTTGGTCTGGCCACCCTAGCTTTCTTCTAAACTACTCCTACACCATAAAACATCGCACGTTGGTGCAGTCGGTGGTTGGGCATACGTAACACGTGTCCCAGCCATCTCAACTGGTGAAGTTTCACTACTTCATCAATTGATTTGCCATTCTTACCTAGTACCCGTGTCCTAGCAACTACAGTACTTTGTCATCTAACCTAGTATATATTGGGAAACATCGCCCGTCGAGGTACATGGTGGCTAAAAAATGTCCTAATTACCCAATCGATGAAGATTCACGACCACACCAACCGATTATTAGACAATCCAATACTAATATACACAAATGGCGAGTACTAGAAAACCAATATTTTACGTCAGTTACAACGTAGAATCCGGTACGTATGTACATTGGTTCAAGTTGCCATACCCCAATTAGCACTGAGATGGAATTTTCAGACCAATCCCAGAATAATAGAGGTAGTAATAGCATCAGTGGCAACGGAAAAGATCAGACATGGAAGATATGATCTAAGGAAACACAATTAGTGAAATAAAAATTGTGGAATTCAGAAGCTTAGAACCTGAGGAAAGAGAATGGACGCACTTGCGACATTACCAACGATTTTGAGCCATATCATTCAGTCTTTAAACATTGGTTATGATAATCACACGGACCCCAACCCGGTAGTCCACATTTATTAAGATGGCTTAGTCTAGTTGTCAGCGACTTCATGGACTGGTGCCATGTTTTGATTTGGCCACCCTTAACTTTCAGCCTACTCCTACACAAGACAATATCGGCCGTCGAGGTAGGAGATGGGTGGACATATGTAACACATGTCCCAACTACCTCAGTTGATGAAAATCTACCACATAATCGATCGACTTGCCATCTTTACCTAGAACCCTATTCCCAACCCAGAGACTGGTTACTCGGTGGTCCCAAAATGCATGAATAGTGCTTCAAAGACACCTATAATAGAATACCAGTAACTCGAGAATGCTTTTTATCTTTAATGGCCGTGTTTCACGCTGATAAAGTAGAACACAGCTGAATGCTGAGCAGTAAACTCGTCTTTCGGTTGGAAGACGGATATCTCCCCTACGCCACAATTGATTGAATTTGGCAAAAGCCGATAGGGTCTTCTGAATCCGTGGCAGGGTTTCGTCAGACACCAGACCATCAGGACTGATGAGATAGAAGAAGCGGTTGATGCATCTAACTGCTTCACTTCCTGCCATTAAATAAGGGAATGTCACAAGCAAATCCCGAAGCGACATTTTGCGTTTGGAGGAAGAGGGCCGCATCAAAAACATGCTTACATTATTACTTAGGGCGATCGGAAGACGGAGTTTTTTCAGCTTCTTAACTAAACAGAACTACATCATTTACGTATTCTAAGTCAAGAAATGAGTGGTCTGGTACGGGATCAATCCCTAAAAAGTCAAAGATGACGGCATTATCTCTAAAAGTACGTCTATGAAAAGTAAGATAAAAATGGGGAAAGCGGACAACTTTGACGAGTATCACTTGAAGTAATCAATTCCTATGAAAGTTCACCATAAACTACGATTCGACCAGTAGTGTTCAAATAGAGAGCCTATACAAGGTTATCGTACTTCTTAGGCACACCTTTAAATGAGACTGCCATAGAACCTCATGGTCAACAGTCAAATGTCGTCTTAAAGTTAAGGAATACAACTACTGTCGGGCGTCGAAAACCAAGTGTGCGTTACAAAATCTGTTGAGGAGTGAGTATTTGATTCATACATCCGAGTCTAGGTTCACGTATCACTGATTCATCCACTTCATAAACTCACCATTGGATTACTACAAAAAGCTACTGTTAGTCCGTTGATATAATTACTTACAAAACACTGGTTATAAGTACGACTGAATGGAGTAACAACCCGCTGAAAATTTTGATGGAGTTTTGTTCTCTGAGCTGGATGGTTTGGTCGTGGAGCTTTCATCGTTCTTCTGAACGACATCATCAGCACAAACTTCAGATAGAAGTGAAGTGTTCGAATTTCTCCATATGTGTTTCACAGCTTGTTCTGTGCACCTCGATGTTGATTGGTTCTTGTTGACCTTAAATTTATCATTGTTTACTTCTTTGTTTTGGTTGTGTCTCCCATTGGTTTGATTTTTGTTCCCATATTTATGCATGGTTTTCCTGATTGGTTGATAAATTGGATTGATTTCAATATGTTTGTTGATTGCTGATTGACCTGAGTGCCAGGCTTCTAGAAATTCTCTGGTGTTTTTGGAGTTTCCTCTGTCTAAGATTTCTACATTTTCCCAATCGAATGAGTGTCCGTAGTTATCCACGTGTATTGAAATAAGTGAAGAAATATCATGGCGTTTGACTGCTAATTGATGTTCATGTAGGCGTAGGTGGAGGGGACGTCCGCTTTGTCCGATGTAGTGTTTGTCGCAGTTGGTACAGTTTATTTTGTAGATAATGTTTGATTTGTTCTCCTTTGTTATTTCATCTTTTGGTTTGCATAAGATTGATTGTAGTGATTTTGTTGGTTTGTGTGCCACACCTATCCCGAAGGTTTTCAGCAGTCTCGTTGCAGTTTCTGATATTCCTTGTATGTACGGTAGGGTGATCCTTTTACTGATTTTTGTGCCTGACTTGGGTTGTGATGCTGTGTGCCGTTGGTGCTTTTTGATAAAGTTGATTGGGTAGCCGTTCTTTTGAAATATGTCCTTCAGGTATTTCTCTTCATTTCTTCGTGCTGCCAGTGTGCTGCAGTGTGTCCTCGCCCTCTTGAACAATGTGTGTACGCAGTTGATTTTGTGAGCCCTTGGGTTGTTGCTGTTGTAGTTGAGAATTTGATCTGTATGGGTTGGTTTCCTATATACTTGAGTTTCCAGTTTTCCTGTATCAGTTCTAGTGATCAATATATCCAAAAATGCTAGTTGGTTGTTTGACTCCTGTTCCATTGTGAACTTGATGTCATTGAAAACGTTGTTGATCAGTTTGTATGTGTTTTCCAGTTCATCCTTTTTGACGATGACGAAGGTGTCGTCTACGTAGCGAATCCAAATTTTTGGCTTGATCACTGGTAATATCGTGGCTTCTAGTCTTTGCATCACTGCTTCTGCGATCAGTCCTGATATTGGTGATCCCATTGGTGTCCCTTTTGTTTGTTTGTAGATTTTGTTGTTGAATTGAAAATATGTTGTTAGGCATAAATCGATGAGCTCCAGTAGACTTTGAATTTGAAGCGTCGTGTATTTGGTGAGATTTGTGTCGTTGTTGAGTAGTGGGGATATAGTTTCTTTTGCTAACTGTGGTTCAATTGAGGTGAACAGTGCAGTTACGTCGAAGGATATCATGAGTTCGTCGTTGTTGATTTGAATGTCCCTAATTTGGTCCAAGAATTGTGTTGGGGATTTGATGGAGTGTTTGGCTGAATCTACTAGATGTCTCAGTATTCGTGAAATTTCTTTTGACAAATTGTACGTTGGCGTTCCGGGGAGTGCTACTATTGGACGTAGTGGAATGTTCGGTTTGTGTATTTTGGGCCTGCCGTAGAATCGAGGGAGTACTGGTCCACTGGATTTCATTCTCCATTGGTCTTGTTTTGTTATTTCTCCTGCTTTGACTAGCTTGTTTAAAGTCTTTGAGATTTGGTTGTCTAATTTTTTGACGGGATTTGTGTCCATCAGTTTGTATGTGCTCTTATCTTCGAGTAGTTCTTCGGCTTTGTTGACGTATTCTTCTTTGTCCATGATTACTGTGGTGCGTCCTTTGTCCGCTGGTATTATGACAATATCCTTTCTATTTCTGAGTTCTTTCAAGGCCTTTTGTTCTTGTGGAGTTAGTTGGTTGTTTTCTTTCACCTGTTGAGTTATCGGTACTATAGTTTGCCTTATTTCCTGTTGTGTTTCTTCACTGATTCCGGAAGTTTTGAGTGATGACTCTAGTGCTGCGAAGAACTCCAGCTTTGAGGCGTCGCTTGTATTGTAGTTTAATCCTTTTTGGAGCAGGTGTTCTTCCGTATTTGTTAGTGGTTGTTTTGACAGATTGATCACGCAGTTGTTTGTGTTCTCTTCCATGGTTGGTTTAGAGATCTTGATTAGTTTTTTCTTTAAGGTGTTTCTTCTTTGTTCTCTATGTCGTTTGCATGATATCTCGATGGCTGTTGTCACGATGTCTAAATGTTCTGACGTGAGCATCCTTTGTAGCTTTATCTTTTGGTCCTCTATGACGTGCTGGTATTTGCGGATCCTGTAGTGTGCATCCGTTATCATTAGGTGTACCATTTTTCTTCCACTTTGCTCAGCTATTCTCCATCCTAATGGGCAGTTGATTGGAGGTCTATATCTTACACTTGTTGGTAGAACATGCTGGCGAAGACACTCATGGAGAAAATATAGTTGTTCTCGAGTGGAAGCCTGCCTTTTGGCGAAATTCTCCCATTTTCGAACAACGAGAAGCGTATTACGCTCATATGATTTTGAGATGGTGGAGAAGATTTGTAGCTCAGGTGGATGATTTTGATGGAGTTTTGTTCTCTGAGCTGGATGGTTTGGTCGTGGAGCTTTCATCGTTCTTCTGAACGACATCATCAGCACAAACTTCAGATAGAAGTGAAGTGTTCGAATTTCTCCATATGTGTTTCACAGCTTGTTCTGTGCCAGCTTGTTCTCCACCATCTCAAAACCCGCTGAAAAGTCAGGCTAATTTGAAAAAGGACTATTTAATGAATTGAAAAGCCATTACATAATTCGCATCAATAGAACACTACTCGTAAAATAGACAGTATTTATTAAATGCACAAACTATGAAATACTAATCTATATATGGATTGCTATTGTTTTAGACAGGTATTTTATGAGACAACCATTACATAGAATGTCAGAATAACCATTGTGTCTAGATTATTAAATTAAGCATCCTGATAAACCTAAATTTATAGCTGATTTTTTAAAAAGACCTGACCAACATTTACTCTACTTTGTCAACCAAAATTACCAACAGTTAAAATTAGTCTAGACAGTATATTCAGAACTTAAACTTTCTAATCTATGTTATTTCAATATTTTTTTATGAACCACAGTTCATATAAACAAAGGATAGTGACTGAATAGAAATCCCTTCCTCATGCTGCTTTGGGTATGCAACTAACTACATAAGCATTTTCGAATTTTGAAATTACCAAGCCTGATAGTAAATCTTTATGCGCCGATGAGAATAATGAATGGTAACTTTTGGGATCCATTCTTGGACCAATATTATGTGTATATTTTTATCGTATAATTGTTAAATGAATAAACTATTCATATTCATGTCCCTCTTATTATGAGCTTTATTTTAACCTATGGACTATTATTATACGATTTACCATTCTTGAATTATGCCGTCTATTAATTACTATCTCCCACATTCATAGCCACTTTTGGCTAAATCTTGTACAAATGTTGTTTCCTATTTTATGGTACGATGTGGTCTGTCTGGTTGGTATATAAACTCAGTATGTTTGGAATGCGGGATTCATATCACAGAGGCTGAGATTGGTGTTCTGGACTTAACAGGCAGGGCTAGGTGGAGAGCAGGACCAATAAGGACTCTATACTACTCCTACTTGTTTTTATGCGTCATTGGTCCGGTCGATAAATCACTGTTCTCTAATTGGCGGTCTCATTACGTTATACATTAATAGGACACAAGGAACAAGTTATAACAACTTAGCACTTTTTCTAAGGGGCACCTGATTCCTCCACATTTTATAGTTTAATATTTATGTCAAGGTATTTCAAAACTTGTTAGTTGAATTCGTTATCTTCTTCTTACTTAATTAACGTGATAATTTTGATGATTTCATATTGAATATCAAGATTAATTACAGAAAAAAGCGGAATCAGTAACTTTGCCCAACTCCTCCTGGAGTCCCTCCGGGGGCTACTGCCGGTCCCAAGCCCGGATAAAGGAGGAAGGTTGGGCATGGGGTTAGCGTCCCCATCCCGTAGAAAACTAACTCGCTAAAAAAACGCTAACCAGAAAAAATTATTCAAACCTTTTAAACTCTGCCCTGGGAGTCAGAAGGTCTTCATTTAGAAGAATTATGACGCCTCATGATGAAAGCCGAATTCCTTCGGAAGTTACGAGGCCGATGCCCCTTCTGACAACCAGAGCGACCATTTATTTAGGTACATGGAATGTTCGTACAATGTGGGACACCGGAAGAGCCTTCCAAATTGCTGCAGAAATGAGAAGATACAACCTAGAGGTACTTGGGATCAGTGAAACACATTGGACACAAGTTGGACAACAACGACTAACTTCAGGAGAGCTCCTGTTATACTCCGGCCATGAAGAAGAAAATGCACCACATACACAAGGAGTTGCATTGATGCTGTCCAAACAAGCGCAAAATGCGCTTATAGGATGGGAATCTCATGGACCAAGGATCATCAAAGCCTCGTTCAAAACAAAGAAAGAGGGTATTTCAATGAACATCATCCAATGCTATGCGCCTACCAACGACTACAATGAAGACGCTAAAGATCAATTCTACAATAGGCTGCAGTCAATCGTCGAGAAGTGCCCAAAAAAGGACCTGACCATTCTGATGGGAGATTTCAACGCCAAGGTTGGAACGGACAACACTGGATATGAAGACATCATGGGACGACACGGACTGGGAGAAAGAAACGAAAATGGTGAGAGATTTGCAAATCTATGTGCCTTCAATAAACTGGTCATAGGCGGCACCATATTCCCACATAAACGCATACACAAAACCACATGGACTTCACCGGATCACTCTACACAAAACCAAATCGACCATATTTGCATCAACAAAACGTTCAGGAGGACTATAGAGGACGTGAGAACCAAGAGAGGAGCTGATATAGCATCAGATCATCACTTGCTGGTCGCCAAGATGAAATTGAAACTCAAGAAGCACTGGACAACGGGGCGGACAATATCACAAAAGTTCAATACGGCCTTTCTTCAGGATACTAACAAACTCAACAAATTCAAGATAGTCCTCAGCAACAAGTTCCAGGCCTTTCATGATCTACTCAATGGAGAAGGAACTACTGTGGAGAGCAACTGGAAGGGGATCAAAGAGGCAATCACTTCAACATGTCATGAGGTCCTGGGTCACAAGAAGCACCATCACAAGGAATGGATCACTGTTGATACACTGGATAAGATTCAAGAAAAGAGGAACAAGAAGGCAGCAATCAATACCAGCCGAACAAGAGCAGAAAAAGCCAAGGCACAAGCTGAATACACAGAAGTAAACAAACAAGTGAAGAGGAGCATCAGAACCGACAAACGTAAATATGTGGAAGATTTAGCAACGACGGCGGAAAAGGCTGCAAGAGAAGGAAACATGAGACAACTGTATGACACGACAAAGAAACTCTCTGGAAATCGCCGCAAACCAGAACGACCAGTGAAAAGCAAGGAAGGAGAGGTAATCACCAACATTGAAGAGCAACAAAACAGGTGGGTAGAACACTTCAAAGAACTCTTGAATCGACCAGCCCCACTGAACCCACCCAACATCGAAGCAGCACCCACGGACCTCCCAATCGATGTTGGCCCACCAACAATTGAAGAAATCAGCATGGCCATCAGACAAATCAAGAGTGGCAAAGCAGCAGGACCGGACAACATCCCAGCAGAGGCACTAAAAGCAGACGTAGCGGCAACTGCAAGGATACTCCACATTCTCTTCAATAAGATTTGGGATGAGGAACAAGTACCAACAGACTGGAAAGAAGGACTTCTGATCAAAATACCGAAGAAAGGCGATCTCAGCAAGTGTGATAACTACAGGGGCATCACCCTTCTCTCAATACCGGGAAAAGTCTTCAACAGGGTATTGTTAAACAGAATGAAGGACTGCGTAGACGCCCAACTTCGTGACCAACAGGCAGGATTCCGTAAGGATAGATCGTGTACAGACCAAATCGCAACTCTACGGATCATTGTGGAACAATCAATTGAATGGAATTCATCACTCTACATCAACTTCATTGACTACGAAAAGGCATTTGATAGCAAGAACAGCATATTTACAACTGAGGAACATCTGGAACTCAAAGCGACTGTCAACCAACACCAAGGTCAGGATTTTCAATACAAATGTCAAGACAGTTCTACTGTATGGGGCAGAAACCTGGAGAACTACGAAAGCCATCATTCAGAAAATACAGGTGTTTATTAACAATTGTCTACGCAAAATACTTCAGATCCATTGTCCGGACACTATTAGCAACAACGTACTGTGGGAGAACAAACCAGATCCCAGCGGAGGAAGAAATCAGGAAGAAGTGCTGGAAGTGGATAGGGCACACATTGAGGAAAGCACCCAACTGCGTCACAAGACAAGCCCTCACATGGAATCCTGAAGGCCAAAGGAAAAGAGGAAGACCAAAGAACACATTACGCCGAGAAATGGAAATAGACATGAGAAAAATGAACAAGAATTGGATGGAGGTAGAAAAGAAGGACCAGGACAGAGTGGGTTGGAGAATGCTGGTCGGTGGTCTATGCTCCATTAGGAGTAACAGGCGTAAGTAATTAAGTAAACTTAGCTCAATTAAACTCTGAACTTAATGGTTGATTTTTGGAGTCATTTAAACAGAGGTGTTACAATACGTCGACTAAATGAGTTTAACTGAAGAGCATATATATATATATATATATATATATATATATATATATATATATATATATATATATTCAAGTCAACATAAATCATATCAGCGTACCGAGAATAAATCAACAAGATGAAAAGCAAAGGATGGGAAGAATTGCAGAGAACAATGGAGGTCCAAGTATCAGAAATACATTTCAAAAGGACGGAACTTAAGGATGAGAAATCGAAAATGACATTTAACTGAGGACTTAGAGGAGGATAGATGTATTCTCAGACTGGAAAATGTGTTTGAATGAACAAAGTAATGATATGAAAAATTACCGATTCACTGGACTCTAGTTGGCGCTGATATATATTCCAAACATTAGCTGCGATTGCGGCTTTAGATCGCTCACTATCACCAGCAAGGCTCGTGTAGGCAAGAAGAACACCTTCAGGATTAAATAACATAACTGATTGTATTCCGCCAGTATTCATCTTTCTTAAGGCAGAAGTAAGAGCACGTGGGCGGAGCATCTGGAATAAGGTAACTACTTAAGTTGTGCATTTAACGTAAATTTCAAAGATGAAATGTCATATTAAATAATCACTTGTCATAAAGTCAAAGAATAGCCAGATTAATTTCAATAAAGCCAGATTTAAATACTTACTATGTTCAAAGCTCAGTTATCATACAGTTTCCACGAAAACAGTGAAAAATGTATGGTTTAGTTTTGCAACTAAATATAGTAAACCAATATCACAAGAATCAGTAAAGTGTTGATTCGAGCGGAGATGAAGGAAATTTGTTTTGCTTTTGGCATCAACGATGACCAACATAAATGTTAAAACGAAAATTATTCGCTGACTTAGAAAGACTTGCTACCAGCACATTTTTTCAAGAAATTTGCATACTGCAATTTGGCCATTATGATCTACATTAGCTTGTGATAATGACAACTATTATATGCCTCCATACAGAAGACTACAATAATTTATGCACTGCAGGAACTGCCAAATCTCCATGGAAATATCCAATTAGTAGCTTTCAGTAACCCTCATAAGATTACCAGAACCCTATCCCAGCTTACTTCACCGTAGAGATTCTGGCAGATAGTTATGGACAAAAGATATAATTATGAAGATTAGTTCATAGATTTGAGTAGTATTTTTCAAGACATAATTCAGATGTCAATTCCAAAGATAGTCAATAATTAGCATTTGCGAAAACCAAGTATTTTAGCACCGAACTTAATCCATTCCGTTTTCCTCTTTAAGAAACCAATTTGTTAAGGTGGACAAAATATTTTAGGATTAGCTTATGTTGTTGTCACAATACTAGGAGGACTATATAATAGCTTGTTAAGGTTACTGACGATTTCTGAAAGGTCATTTTGAGTGATCCTTCGAAATAATTTTAACCTAAAGTACCTATATACTTAGAATGTCAATTCATTACTTCTGACAATCCACTTACGTTTGTACTTAAGTGCGAGTGACACCGTCAAGAGAAAATCCGAAACGCGTACCTCTCACTTGGTCGCTTTTCAAGGTTCAAACTCCAAACTTTTCTCGGCAGAATCAGCTGACTGTATGTTCGTAGGACTATGTATCTGGGTCGTAGAAGAATATTCCTGGCTACTAAGAAATACAATTCTTGTAATATTCTGACCATAAATTCGGAATTCCGATTTAGATTCGCTTATTTGAGACAGAAGGTCGACGGTCTGTGTTAATCGCTTTTGCTCAGCTTCTGTTAGTGTCCAGTGCTCTCTTGAATCAGTCCGTTGAAATTGTAGGGACTACTTCTTCCACCAGTAGGTTCTGAGGGTCAATAAATTGTTGTATAAACCTGTAAGGTAGATGTATTTTGTTCGGTCTTGGGTATTAAACGTGCTTGCTATGTCTTCTGAGTTGTCCTGATCTGGTAAAAAGGAATAGAGAAAATATGTCAGACCTGAAATCACCTTCAAGAATTCTATTCAGTTAAACCGGAATACCCTCTAATCTGAAATGAAGCAGAGTCAAGAGGTCTAACTTCTAAAGCGGGCGTGCGTAAGAAGGAAATGCTCTGATGCTTTCCTAAGAAGTATGTAAAGCACTTGTAGAATGGAGGTCTCATGGATCCAAAATCATCAGATCATCTTTCAAAAAGGAGGGAATCACAATGAATGTTATCTAGTGTTATGTACCCAACAATGGTAGCAACAACGACTATAAAAATCAGTTTTTCGAGAGGCTGCAATCGACTACAGAAAAGTGTTCAGGAAACAGCCTGGCCATCCTGATGGGAGATCTAAACACCAAAGTCCTAATGAACAACACCGATTATCGAGATATTACGTGGTGACATGGACTGACTGGGAGAAAGGAACGAGAATGGCGACAGATTCGCAAACTTATGTGCATTCAACGAAATGGTTATAGCCAGCACCAAATAACCTCACAAACGCATGCACAAAGCCACATAGGTTTCGCCGGACCACACCACGAAGAACCAGATAGATCATATTTCAATCAGCAAAATTTCGCAAGATCAATGGAATATATGAGGACCAAGGGAGTAGCTGACATAGCTTCAGACCAACACCTAGTTGTATCCAATTTAAAACTGAAGCTAAAGAAGAACTGGAAAACTCGATAAACAGCAGTGAAAAGATTCAACACAGCCTTCATTCGAGCTATTGACAAACTCAACAAATTCAAGATAGTTCTGAACAACAGGTGCCAAGGTTCACATGATCTACTGAAAGGAGAAGAAACTACTATGGAGGACAACTAGAAAAGGATCAAAGAAGCACTAACGTCAACGTGTCAGGAGGTGATGGGTCACAAGAAGTATCATAATAAGGAATGGGTCTCTATCAAAACCCCTGGCAAAATTCAAGAAAGGAAGAACAAAGAGATGGTATTTCATAACAGCCGAACAAGGCGCAAGCTGAATGCACAGATGCAAACAAGACACTGAAAAAGAGCTGACAAGCAGTATTATGTGGAAGACCTAGAAATGACGGCGGAAAAAGCTGCGAGAGAAGGAAGTATGAAAAATTCATATTATACAACGAAGAAACTAGCAGAGAAATATAGTAAACCAGAGAGACCGATCAAGAAGAAAGAAGGTAAGACAATCAACGAGATTCAAGAACAGAAGTGTAGTGGCATTGGACAATAGCCACACAATCCACAAAGCTGTGAACACGAGACTACTCAGAAAATAGATATTCAATATTTAACGCGGAGAAATACCTAACAATGGAGAAGGCGCGAACAATGAATTGAATGGACTGGGTTTGATCGGATGGCATGGCTCGGCCATGCAGGCGTGGTCCATCTAAATGTTACCTTATATCTTCTATTCATATTAAATATATTGTTCCTTCTCTAGCCTAACCTTGTTCTACATCATGTATTGGTAATTGATACGATACAGTGAGTTGGTGTAGTCGATGGTGTGACTTCCACGTAAGATCTTATAGATTAGGCAGTTATATCATGACAAATCTACAAATTTAGGATTAGGTCTATTATTAGAGCAGCAATAATATCATAGTAGACCATAATTCTACATTGGTGAGCCCAACTAAAGAAACGCAACCTATTATTGTTAATCCTTATTTCCACCTTAACCTTCTCAATCGGTTTTTATTTTTGTAAATCCAGTATTCTAATAGTCCTTTGATTAATGGTCACATATATTATCGTAATGTTATATCTATTAGTTCACATAACTTACTAGCTCAATCGATAATAAAAGTTGATCATCTATATCAACTAATTAGCTTTGATGGTTCGTTAACAAGCTTTAATAGCATTTACATGCTTCAGCGACATAGACTTGTTTAAACATCAAGCTCTAGCAAATATGACCTGTAAATAGCGTAAATATACATTGACTAACAATGCAATCAAGGATTGAATAGTTATCTGGATCTAATTCTTAGTGTTCCTTCGCTTAACACCTCATCCTGTTTTAAACTATGCACTATCCTGTAATATCTTTTCTTCCGACCACTGCCTGCCTAATTTCATATTCTCGAGTTCCATTGCCAAACAACAAGGATGACACTTCTCCAAAAAAAACGGTGAGTTCCAGCTATAAGTTTTCTGCAATCATAAGTTCATTTTAGATGGCTCATTCAATGGCACACACAATTATCTGGATTCATTCAGTTGTTCTGATCAGAGCGAGTCCCAAAAACCTCAACAGCATCAAGCACCCTGGAAGTGATTGCCATACTGCATGTTTTATTCTGGATACTTTTGGATCATTACTACTCACGAATGGCGTTATATATGTCGTCCACTGAATAATCTAATTTTCAAAAATAACCCAGGCGAGTTCAACTATTTTACTTAATGATTTTTTTACTTAACATGTATATGTTTTCCGGTTCCTTTTGCTATATATTTGTAAGTGTCCCTAGGCTAAATGCAGTAACTTCTTATGGAATGTTTATAACGCATCATATTCCTGCCTGAAGTTTCATAAGCAGTCTTAACTTTAAAATTACTTTCTGGTCATGTTCATTATTTTTAAATCGTCATATACGTCAACAACCTGCATGTTAACCTGGCCCATACATACGTTACACTATATCTCCATGTCTTCTAAATTTAGAAATCATCTGGATCGCCTTTAACATTTATCAATAAACCCATCATAGTCGTTGTTGCTAATCGTATTTGTGTTTATGGATTGGTTTATCATATTAGCAGCCTAAAATGCGAACATAGTTTAGATAATAAGATTAAAAATTTAGGTACTATCAACTGCACTAGTAAAATAACTAAATCCTCAGGTAGCTGTTGGCTAAACAAACGTTTAAAATCAAAACTCCGTAGCCTACTAGAATTAACACTAAACGAATATTTCTGAATTGAAATTTATAATTAAATTAGGCGTCTCGGATTCTTTAACGTTATAAATTTCTGATAATTTCGAATCACCTAAAGCAACAATACCTATTTTTCCACTGACTAATCCTCAATCAACACTATAACTAGTTAAACTAATAGTTTCAGGATATCGTCATAAAGCATTGTCATGACTTGACAATCACGTAATATGATTGATAAAATTAATGAAACTATTAACAAAATCGGTCAGCAAATTGACTTATAATTATCACTAGTGTTGTTTTTCTTTATCTTCATTCACTACAGATGATTACAGTATGTTTCTCTATCAGTTGCTCATTCAGTAAATATCTCAAAACCTTGTCAGTCTAATTGATGGTTTAGCGACACAATCATGCATGCAAATAATCAGTATAAGCAGTCGAGCAAATCTCCTGCAAACTGAAAACATCAATGTCGAATTTACCCCAACACTGACTAAGGTTCAAGCCATTATCATAGACATGAGTTGGGAGTGTACTCCCCTGGTTACAACTTATGTTCTCCCTGATAATCACATGAGCATCACTCACTATTAATCATCTTGTAAAAACTTATTTAGCTAAATACATCTTGCAGCACCACATCACTTCGTAATATGACATAGGCTTAACTGATTTTAATAACTTATAACCACTATATCTCAATTAAATCGTATTCCGCCTTATGATAAACTGCATACTTGCAACTAACTTGTATGCCCAATCAGCCAGCAAGTATAAATATAAATAAATAGTCTGCCACAGATCAGAACATTGAGTCTAGAGCATGTCTCTTACGAATACACTCATGTTTAACGATTTGTTCCTAGCTATCTGTCCAAAATTCATATAATTATCACTCACGTATTTAAATTTTGTTTTGATAAACATTCATGTGTATTAGTAGTATTACTAAATTCTATCACGGTCAAGTAAAAATGAGGTTGAGAAAATCTCCCCGTAACTAAATAAACCGTATCAAACTAACTGGAACACTAGTTGGAATTCTTCTCCACGGTATACTTTTGTTCCTTCAGTTAGCCTACTAATACAGATGCAATTGGAAATCAACTCATATGGACAACTTACCGGCATAATCGTTGATTGATTTCATAATTTTAACCAAAACTAATACCAATATTAATATTTCTACAATATTCATTACTTTAATATTTCTAAACACAAAATACTTACTACCTATACGTTAAGTTATTAACCAACGGCTATTAGCACGCATCGTTTTATTATTATTATTGTCATGCCATTTTTATAGTTCAAATAATCTTCACCCAAATTTTCATTTCAAGCGTTTTAAGCATGAAGGCAGATATTTTAAAATTATTACATGTATTTCCCGACCAGATGCTGCCGCTTTCTTTTTGATTTATCTTTCAGCTTACCAATACCCGGAGGATTCTTATTATCCTTGGTAACCTCCGGCGCGCGACGATCCCATCCAATTTGGTATCGAACCAACATCACGTTGATTCTGGTGGGAGAGTAGTGTAGTGGCATTGGACAATAGCCACACAATCCACAAAGCTGTGAACACGAGACTACTCAGAAAATAGATATTCAATATTTAACGCGGAGAAATACCTAACAATGGAGAAGGCGCGAACA